CGGTTTTGTTTTGTTAAATTTCTACAAACACGTAAACAATCGCTTCGATTTACACGTGCATTTGTTATTGATTTATCAATTAATAATAATGCATTAGCATTTACGAATAACACTAAATTGCGTACAATAACAGTCGTGATTGAAAAGAAACACGTTTGCGCTCGAGAATTTGTTAAATTGAATAATTAAAAAGAAGATTACTATTAGTACAATAAAATGCATTTCTACTGTCAAAGTCTCTAAATCGATTCACAAAAAGCAAATAAACAAAAAAAAAAGCAAATAAGTAATAAAATTTTTACTTTATTTAATTTTAATTTTCGTTAATTAGATATCAAAAATTTGAAAAAGACTGCAATGTTATATTTCGTAAAAAATAAAAAACATCGACAAATATATTTTTTATATGTACACACATGTATTTGCTACCAATTTTAATTAATTAATTTTAATTAATTCACCACTGATGTTAATTTCAAATAGCTGTCAATTGTGATACAATCAATAATAATTATTTATGTACAATAATTGTGCATTATAACTTTTACAGTTACAGTTTCATTATACTAAATATTTTCGTTATTTTAGATATAATTATAAATTATCCATATACATTTCTTTCAAATCAATTCTTTATGAAAATAAAACTTCCTTGAAGATCTCCTTTCACAAATTCAACATAAACATATGTCTGTTTTTAATTCACCATACTTCCTAAATCATAATTGCCTTTCCAAATAGTTGAAGAGAGATGCAAAATGAAATAATAATATCTAATATATGTTCGTTAATTGAAATGCTCTTAGTATAAAAATTGTAATTTTAAAAATAATCTATAAAAATTTAACAAGGCAATAATAAAACATTAAAGCTGGGACATGTTCGCCGGGACGTATTCCTAAGAATTTTTATTATTACGTGTGAGTTAACACTTTGCATTTATTCGCAACGATTTTTCAACCGGCGCCGGTGCAATTCATCTCGCAAAAGGGTCAAAGAGGCAATTTTCTCAGCATGAAAAGGTCTTCCTGGCATAATTAAATCTGAAAATTCGCGAAGTCGTACGGTTTCTTCGCGTTCCGCCGGGGCAGGCAGAGAGGACAGAGAAGGAGAAACTTTGGCACCCTGCAGATGAAATTTTCTGGCGTTTTGATCAAAGGGCTCAGTCAAGAACTGCAATGCGCGGCGGCTAGGCGCTCTCGAAATGTCGACTCTAACGAGACTCGTCGTAGACGGGCTACGTGTTTTGAATACGAAGAAAAAACGATTGCGCGTCCTACCGTCGTCGGCCACGGTGCCGTGTAAACTCTCTAAGGCGATTCAGAACCGTAGAAAATTAGATTATCCTTCTGCGTCGTTTATACTTTATGCGAGGAACGAATACGTTTCGAATTGATTAAATATATTACAAATAAATATTTTCCAAGCTGCTTCAAAGCATTGATTTTTTTCCAATAATTCTTTATAGTTTATATAATAACTACAAAATGCGTAATACCTATAATATAGCGTGACAGAATATTGATATACGTGTTCTGAATACATAATATTTCGTTAAAATGAAATAATTGTATATGCTACAATTTATTTATTTCACAAATGGAAATAGATCATATGTATAAGAAGATAATGAGCTGCCGTGTTCAATAAATAAACACAACTAAAAGATTCGTATAACATAAATATCCAAATAAATTTTAATTTTTAAAGTTATATAAACCAATTTACTTAGAATTGAATGAAATAAGATTGAATTAATATAATACAGAAAATAGAAAATATAGAAAAAGAAGAAACAACCGGAAAATGATAACCACTAAAGTGTTTACGCGACATATATCTTATTTGTATTGTCGCCGGGAAAACAGCGCAGCAAGAGATGGCTTCGATATTGCACCAGATTCGACAGCTTGAAAACGACCGGTTGAAAAGCTGAGGCAATCGGGCCGGGCCGCCAGGCACAAGCCAAATACCTTTACAGCCTCGGTAGAAACAACAACGAACGATTCGGTGGCGATCGCGGTTTGTTCCTCTGAAATCGAGCTATTGCTGTGCAACCGCGCGCATTCCTTCCAATCCGAAATGGAAACTATTTCGCGCACATCTCGAAGAAGGAGGAATATCCGTGCCGCACAATGGTCTATTTTCGCGATCGTTAAAGAGACGGAAAATTCTCAGGCTCCTTTCGAGCTTCGTTCGCGCGACGTTCGGAGAGGCGGAGAAATTTATTTTCGAATCGGGACGCGCCGCGCGGACGAGCGATGTCTCGATGAATTTTCGACAAGCGGGATATCGACGGCACTGTCGAATCGCGAGCGTGCGGAGCGGGACGAAAAAAAAAATTACCATTTTATTCAATATCGCGTAAGAAGTTACGCGAGCCGTTCGCGAGCGAGCGCGCTTATCAGTTGTACGACGCGACGCTCGAACGACGCGCGATCGGAAAACGTTTGCTCACACACGAACATCGCCGTATCACTTTAATGGCATTCTTAATAGCCGTAGGAGAGTTCCGAAGTTGATGCAATCTCAATTTCCCGGTTCCTGCGCCTGATATATCAGTGATTTTCCACCTTTGCGTTATCGTCTGGAAAGTTCGCCGAGTCATGCGGCAGTTCCGGAGCGGTTGGTTTCGCCTAATAACCGTCTTCTGCCCAGCGCAAACTGGTCCGAGCGCGTGCGACCTTCCGCCTCTCCCAACATCCAGGATCCAGGCCAAAGACTTTACGCACGGGATATCCCAATTAGCGAAAAACATGTCCAAAAAAATCATGCCACAATTACCAAAAATATATTCAACATCTTATCTTTGTGATTGGAAATTTTATTATCATTGACTTAAAAAATTGGATAGCAGTATCCTGTTATTTATTAATCTATATAAAAAATTTTATTTATTTTAAAAGTATTTAATATTTTTGATAATATTTTGATTGCTTATCTCAGAAGTAATTAATTGTTACTTTAATTAACATGATATTTTTTTCTAATAAAAAACCGTCTCGCGATATTCACCGAAATATTCGGCATAGATAAAAGTAATTTTATCCGTGAAGAAATTTGACCTGGAACATCCTGTACAGAGAGGCCAGTGGACTCTCTATATCAAAGAATATTATAGCATCGCTCTTTCGCATCGCGATCGGTTGACGATCGGTCCCGTTTACCGCTCAAGGCTATCCGTGCGAGACGTAATCGCGTGCTTGATGCAATTTTCTGACTAACGGTACGGCATGTCCACCCGAGTATGAATACAGGCTTTCAAGTAATTGCAAGCTACGAGAGAAACGAAGCGCAAGATACAATGCATTTTAGATACGTTGCTTCCTAATAAATTAATTAACTAGAATATTATCCGCGCAATTCGGAGTTTATTGGGATATTGGTAGCGAAAAAGTTATATTTTCTCTTCTATATCTGAAAGTGAAGAGTTCTATACCACGGATAATCATCGTGTATAATAATAATAATTGTAAAATAATAATGTTTTATTTATTGACGTGTGACTTCGATTACCCGCCGCGCCGCCGCGCCGCTTCGAAATTGCTGTTATGTAATATAAAAATCGTCAGTGTTGATCGGGTTAAATTCTCATAAAAACATCTCGCGATTCGTTCATTCATCTCGCCGGATCTTCGACGTCAGTCAGGCACGCAGCTTTGATTCCCCCGAACGGGAAAATGGGAATAACGATACGATCGACAACTTTTAATGAAGTTCAAGGATTTCCTCGATTTTTCATACATCCCTCGAAGCGCAAATACCCATTTCACTTTGGAAAACTACATCGCTCGTTACGCCTGCCGATATGTTTGTCCGTGTGTAACGTTGATCGCCTGCAGGCTGCGGTATAGTGGCGTCTCGCATCCAACTCCCTGACGGGACAACTGATGCGTTTCCAATACGGTTGCCTAACAGCGGTCTTCAATGCTACCGGGACGAGCCCGCAGATCACAAAGTATACCAGATACCGATTACGAGTGTCCTTTTTATTCTTACGAGAAAGCCTGTTCTTCTTTGCATGATTTTTTTATGTGTAATATTCTAAATACATCATAGAGACTGTTATAGTAAAAAAAGCACGCAGCTTATCCGATCTAGGTCCTGTAATATTACGTGAGTTAATGTATCACGCAATAAAAATATATTGATTTATATCTTGTTGCAAGATATGTATCAAACTTATATTACTTCAGAAGGAAGTATAGCAACCTTTGAAAGCGTATTACATAAGAACACGTATCTAATACTACATGGCCTGGTTTTTTCTATCTGCTGCGTTACGTCACGATGCCTTGGTTGCTGAAGGAAAGGCTCGCGAAATAATGTATGGGTATGTAAATATCGTGGGTAATTATATTCCATATGCGGAGATCATCCGCGATTTTACGTAGACCACCGTACACTGAGAAAAAAATGTCGTTAATTTGACTAAACTCGTTTAGTTGTAGTGATTTGTTTAATGCAAATATTAATATATTTAAATCAAATATACGTGAGTAATATTAAGAAATTCTGAATTTATTTCAATATAATATTTTTTGAATTAACAAATGTTAGCTTGACAGCCCGTGACCGCTGCATTTAGTTAAATCAAATAATATTTCTTTGAATCAACGATTTTTTTTTCTCAGTGTAGATTTTAGGTAGACCAACTAAATTAAGACAAAAACATTGCGTGGAACATTATGAGGAAGATTAGCATTTTACCCTCGCAAATACGATTTAAAAAAACGGAACTTTGTAACAAACATCTTTGCAAGACCGCCGCTATAACGCGCTCTTTGTAATCCGGTTAACAAATAATTGAGGAAACTCTGTTTAGTAAAGGATGGCAAGTTCTGACCGCTGGGAAAACACGCTCCAGGAATGAAGAAGAAAATTACAGGGATAGAAGGAAGCGGTTGCCAGCGCGAAACTAAGAAGGGAGACGTTCAATTTAGATCGCGGCTACATGCAAGTACACATTTATGTAAGCGTTTAAAGATTCAATATGTTACCTTGTAAGTTCCGAGATTTTCGATGACACAGGGTAGGCTGACGTCCCTTCCCAGCGCCACTGTGACATTTGGTATCGGTTCGGCAAATATTGGCGGATCGGAAAGCGCTGCAACACATAAAAAAGTACCAGTTATGCAATTCTCGTATCGATGCGTAGCATAACAATTATTAATCCTTGACTTTCTAAGCTATTTTTGAATTCAGATCTAGCGGATCTAAACCTCAATAAATCGTGATTGATATTTGTAGAATCCTTCTTAAATTAAATTCCGAAAATATAATTTCTATTGTTGGAAAACCGGTTGTTTTCCAACAATTCGGAGAACTAAACTCTCTTCGTTGCTCGCTCGGAGCAAGTTCAGTGTAAAATTCGATACCTTGCACTTCGTAATACGAATCCGCGCGGTGACGTATGACGCGAAATATAATTGAGACGACCGTCGAGCTGCCATAACCAATAACGCGATTAACTCTTCTTTTCGCCAATATTTTAGTATGTATAAATATTATTGACGGTGTCAATAAAACGATAATTGTGACTGATAAACTCTTGATGGCCAAACAGAAAATTGGCCGCGCTCGTATCGGCTCGTGAATTTTTTATCTTTGAACCGTCGCGGCGTCGTGGTCGGTGTCCCGCCGAATTGTGATAGTCGATAAATGAGGTCCGTTCGAAGACGAATTAGCGAGAAACGATTGCTCGTGGTGAGGTCCGCTATCGTGTCACATCCGAAATCACGCCGTTACGAATCGACGTCGGCATATATATTCGAAAAACATTTTCGCGAACAAAATTAAGTTCCAGCACTTTTAACCGTCATGGTATGGTGAGCGCTATAATGCGTGCTTGCAATTTGCATTATTTATTCACGTTTATTTATTCATGCCTGTAAAGTTATTTTAATTTGTAATCGACTCGTTTACATACTTTTTCATTTAGAAATTTGCTTATTTGATTTCATGCTTGTCATACAAAGAATGCTTATTAACACCATTGTGAATTAATTATTCACATCCGAACGAACAATCCGATTTCGCGGATTTTTATAATGCAATGAATCCTGTAATCGTATTAATAGATTGCAATTATGCATACGTATGAGCTATTCATGTGGTACAAATGATGGCATTCCCGAATGAAATGCTGAAAGAATAATAATGCATATATAGATACGTATATGTTTAATTAAAAGTCCATGCATTGGTCATTACTACAACTACTACGAAAATGAAGTCCACTATCTGGTATCGCAATCATGCGCGAGATAAAAAAAAATACATACATATAGAATATACTGTATTTATAAATAAAGCATTTATTTTATGTTATTCCGCTAAATATTGTCAAAGCTTACGCGATATTCGTGAAATATCTCGTAATGCCTGGTCCAAACTCGTTTGCGCGTTCGAATTTTTACGAATACCTGCACTCGGAATACGACCAATTATCATGCAGACAGGAGCGTCGTGGAATTCGAGTTAAAATTTATATAGCGACGATACTTCTCGTTTAAAGCTGAACCAAAACGCATGTATCGTTACAGCTGCGGGACTGAAAGTGTGCTCGTAGAATATTAAACGTACAATATTTTCATCATTATTATTCCCATTGTGCCGGCGCAAACTGGAATATTCAACCGATGCCGCCGGATAATCCCTCATATTCTTTCGCACTTTGCGTGCGACCACAAAAACCGCAAGGTATTTGTATTTAAACAATGCAGGAGAGGAGAGGAGCGGCGCGCATCATGTGCCAAAATTTAAATAGCGCCGTGAATCGGCGGAAAAAATTTACCACCCAGTTGACAAATGTCACAGTCCTGACTTTCGTTTTAATAAACGCGTCAACATTTTGATACTCGTCAAAGAACGTTTTGTTAAGCTCGCGAATACGTGAAACCACACGAAATTTTTATCACATATAAAATAATATCAAACGTAGGATATCAAATAACTTGCGATATACATATATATCTGCAACCTTAAGTTTCGAAGCTCGAACAACTCTCTTACGCGCAGTAATATATATAAATCTTTTTAAAATAAATTTAAAATTCTTGATAAATGATAAATATTATAATATAATTATGTGCATTTATAATGAAATATTTTTAATAAACTAATGTAATGATGAAAACAGGAAAGAGATGGTATTATGACTCGAGAAAGTATTATGATGAAACGATCGCTCTCACAATATCCTCTTTGACGTTGTGAGCAAAACACGCGTCTAACGTCGACATGGAAGGAAAATCGAAGGTGCTGAAAAGAAGAGGAAGGTGGTGGATACGCCGGAACATCCGTGTCGAATGACGACTCTTCTGAGGAACTTTTGGAGCTGGTGCACTCGAGAGTGAAGTAGGAGGGTAGTTGGCTGACTGCTCGACCGGAAGAGGACCGCCGTCAATTCCGGTCGAAGACTTCGCACTGACCGGAAGTCCGTGCACACTGACGCACACCAACGTAACGTGCGACGTTTTGGCGAAAACCCGACAATTCTAACTCTTGATGCCATGCTCACTATCACATTTCTTGAAAAACGATTCACGATAAACGTTCGAATCCGGATTTTTTATCTTTCTTTTTTCATATAAAATGCTCTGTTATTAATCTGTCATTAACATTTGTTATTAAAGTATCAAGGTCATCATTTATATTCTGGCAAGAAAACACAATGACAATTTGGAATCTCGGTAATATTAACGCGCAAACTAAACATTTTTTCAGTTAAATATTTTTAATTTTACATATTATATTACTGAACTTTTTTGCAAAATATACATATATATATATTTGTTATAATAAAAGAGAAAAAATTGATATCTTTCACTACAAAGACTACGTTGTCCAATTTAGGTCTTTTTAATTATATATACACGGAAAAAAATGATGTATCAACAGCATCATTTTTTGTATCAACAGTATCAGTGTTATTGAGATAAAATTTATTGATGCAACATCAATATTAATGAACAAAAAACATCAGATAATTGTTTTAATAATTTAAATATTTGGTCTAATACCTAATATCCAATTGAATTAACTACAAAAGCAACTTCATTTTTTTTCTGTGTACATATATAATTTAAAAGACATTATATATATGTACATTTTATATCGGTTTTTTATTTCTTAATCTAGGATAAAATAAATAGCAAATAAAAAACTTGAAAGCAATAGAAAGTGTAACGCTAATCAACTTGTGAAAAGGCATCACACTATCATTTTTCGCTAAAAAGTTCTAGAATGTGTAATGAAAGAAATTAATAAAAGAGTATAGCGCTCTGGGAAAAGACAGAGCACGAGTTACTTTAATGCGAACAGAATTTTCAGAAGCTTTGCGGGTTTCCAGTAGCAGGATACATTGACGACTATCTTTATGAGATAGTGGCCAGGGAGAATCCCCTGGAGAACTTCCGGGTGGGAGACTACGGCAAGGTCGAGTTCCGAGAATTTAAATTATTATTTAGTCGAGAAAGACAAATTACCCCGGCCTGGTGCTGACTACCCCAAATGCTATACTGTACTCAAGTAATTTGCGACGCGAAACCAATTAAAGTTACCAATTAAAAAGCTAACGTTGCGT